ACCCTAAACCCTAAACCCTCGTCCCCTTTTTTATTTTTAAGTAGGCCGAAACCCGTCGACCCCCGAGTCAGCCGCCATCATCAAGAGGCGTCGATGCCCGAACCTTTTTGCTAGTATGGGGGGGGGGGGGGGGGGGNNTTTTAAGGGCTCCTTTAAGGGATACTTTCAGGGCTACTATCAGGGTTTTGAGTTTGGGGCCTTGTAGCTAGAATGGGTTTTTGGGTATTATATATTATATTTATGACCTATATTTGCATGGTGGGGAGCGAGCTTTGAATATAAAGGGATGCAGGCTTCACGGAACGTAGCATTCAGGTCTGAAAACGTTCAAGGTTTTCGGTCCTATATTAGCATGGCGGGAGCGAGCTTGGAGTGGAAAGGGATGCAAGGTTTTGGGGGTTCAGGCTTTCGGGGCTCATCGGGCAGCTGCGCTGTCAAGGGTGTTGTGCGGGGCATGTAAGTTTGAAGCTCGTGCACTTGAGAATACTTACTGTAACACTACTCTAAGACAGTGAACCCACTAGCATCATGTTCTTCACCAACACACAGTCGGCATTGTCTTAGTCACCATCATCGTCTTCATCGGCAACAGCAGGCAACCAGTCAAAGCCAAGCCCGAATCCCAATTACAACAAATCTTCAACCACGGACCCCTTCATAAAGCCTGAAAAGACTTTGGTAAGCGCGGTGTGCAGTAAGGCAGCGAAGTCGTATAGTCGACTAACTCTAAGCCCTAAACCCTAAACCCTAAACCCTAAGCAAGGTATTCCCTCCGAACTGCATGACCGAATCCTGGACTCGCAAGCTTGCTCAGGGAAACGTTTAGGAGCTTAGGGCACGTTCGTGACACTCGGTTGTTCGTGCTGATGTAAATTATCAGAATATGCAGGGGTCCCTATTCATATACTGATGTGAACTACTTCCGAGCACCTACAACTCTCAGGCGAGCTGCTTGGGAATCTCCAATTCTTCGAAGTCCTTCTCGGTGAGCGTGAGCCTGGAATATGAGGCTTCTTCCAGCTTCCAAGGGGGCATGTACTTTCTTACTATCGAGCTCTAGGACTCTAGGCATTAGGATGTTGTAGGGGTTGCCAAGGGGGCTGACGAGGGCTTGAATCGGAGCCTTCTTTACGGTTCACGGTGGTGTAATCTCACCTCTGGCAGCAGGGAGCCTGGCTCATATCGGGATTGCCCGCAACGAATACTCTTCTGACTCAGTTCCCCCAATCCGGCGCTGTGGCACGGGGCGGCTGGCACAAAACCAGACGACGAGCTACCCATAGGCCCCATGTTAGTTCCTTGTTGGGATTACCTTATAAGATTCTAAATATGAACCCCAAAAAGGAACTACTATGGGGCCTATGGGTTGATCAGTACCCAAGGCACTGCCGTCGAAGCAGGGACTAGACGGATGTATCGTTAACAAAATGGCACGCCAACCGGAAACGCTTCATGCGGCTACTTAGGGACTTAGGGAGTGGCTTGTTGTAACTACTTGGAACACTTTTGACACCTCCGAACGTTACACCGGATGAATCCGAAACTCACCGAAATCCTGTATACAATCGAATTACTCAACTCTTACAGCGTCACAAGACGTGCAAACCCTGCAAAACCTGTGAGCCCTAATGTAGGGGCCAAAATAATTACCTATGGTACCTTATTCTAACTATAGTATAATGGCCCCGAAAACCCTCTTCTAATTCTTAAGGCCCCTACACCCTAAACCCCTTATAGTAGATCCCTTATAGTATCCCTTACAGGAGCCCTTAAAAAGAACCCCCCAAAACCCTCTTCTAATTCTTAACGCCCCTACACCCTAAACCCCTTATAGTAGATCCCTTAAAGGAACCCTTAAAAGGAACCCCCCAAGACCCTCTTCTAATTCTTTAAGGCCCCATATTCAACGAGGCCAGGTCACAGCACGTTCCCCGTGATCGCCTGCTCCCGGATGACCTGCGCCAGCTCCTCCAAAGACCCCAAAAGCGGCTTGGTCGTAGGAACTTCTCATAGGCCCCATAGTAGTTCCTTTTGGGGGTTCATATTTAGAACCCTATAATGTAGTCCCGAAAAGGAACTACTATGGGGCCTATGGGTACTCTATGGAATCTATACGTGCTTTGGAAGAGCTGAAGAGCTTACTAGGTTTTGCCATGCATGCTATAAATTTGCCACGCATGCTATAAACCGGTTTGAAGAAGTGTCTGTCGATTTGGGTGTGCTTGGGGTTTGGGGTTTGGGCCGAGGGTTTGGAATTTGCGGCAAAAACGGAACATGACGAGGATTGTGGATGATCTGTACTGGGATGTCTTATACAGTGATACTGTATGAAGATCATGATTTCTGGCTTCTACTATCAGTGCAGGTTCAAGAGTTTGCTGCTCACACAACTCAGCAGCGAGGGCACTTGGCCCAGATTCAGCGCTTCTCACCGGACCCTCAAAGTCATGCAGGGGCCTTGATAATTAGAATAGGGTTTCGGGGTCCACTATACTATACTTATAATAATAGGGAGCCCCCACAATAGTATAGGTAATCATCAAGGCCGCTATACTACCTTGTCTGCTCCCATGTGTTATAAAGAATCCAACCTTTACAATGGGGAAATGGCTCGTCCAGTCGATAAACACAAAAGAGTCTGCACAGAACGAGCACAAACAAGAGTCGATGGGGTGTTGCCAGCAGCTTAATATGTTCAAACCTTGAGAAATTGAAGGATTCTCTCAGACTCGAAACCCTAAACCCGATAGCTTCGCATCAGTAGCCACACAAAACTTAATGTAGGGGCCTTGATAACAAGAATAGGGTTTTGGGGTATCTTCTACTATAATTACAGTAAGGGACCCCAAAACCCTACTAATTGCTAAGGCCCCATTAGTTTGCCACACGATGACATGCGACGTAGAAGTCCAGGACCTACACCTGGGAGCCCTGCTCTTTATGTCTTATCGCCCAGGGGTTTGTGGTTTAAGGACTTGGGTTTAGGGTTTAGGGTTTAGGTTTTTGGGGTTCAGGTTTAGGTGCTTAGGGTTGAGGGTTATTATCAGGGTTTCGGGTTTAGGGCTTAGGGTTTAGGGTACTGCAGCCCCCGATGAAAGCCCCGGCTTCTGCTCCTTGGGAGCCAGGCTGACTTCAAGAAGCCATCGGATCACCTCCTCCTCCTGCCACTCCTGTGTTTAGGGTTTAGGGTTTAGGGTTTAGGGCAGTAAGGGCTTTAAGACTCCCTGGCCCCTAGCAGCCCGACTCATGTAGGGCCAATGTAGGGGCCTTAATAATCAAAATAAGGCTTTGGGGTATATTCTGCTATACTTATGATAAGGAACCCCCGAAATAGTATTATAGGCTAGACCCTAAACCCTAAACCCTAAACTCTAAACACTAAACCCTAAACCCTAAACTCTAAACCCTAAACCCTAAACCCTAGAGGCTTCTAGATTACTCAACCATTGCAGCCCCGCCCTGCCCTCCATGTTCCGGGTGTAGGACTTACAGGATTTCGCGAAGTTCACCTGGATCGACAAGATGCTCATGTAGGAGCCTTCATAGTTAGAACAGGGTCTCTCTTTTGGGGGTTCTTTTAAAGGGTTCCTTAAAGGGTCTTTGGGGCTTCCTTTAAAGGGTTCCGTAAAGGGTTCTATAAGGGTTGTAGCAGTAGGAAGTAAGTGCAGCATCAGCAGGCAACGGTGTTGCCTGAACTGGCCGTTGCAGCAGCGCTGCTGCAATGCTCGGCCGGAATGCAGCCTGTGCAAGAGACTTCTGAAGCCCAGACCTTGTTTCACATGGACAATGCCCCATCCGATCGTCAAACAATCGGGCGAGGGCTCAAGAACGCAACTCCAGTCTTGAAGCCCAAGCAAGCCTCTGAAGCCCCAAAGCCCTGGTAACCTCTTCGACCAATCGTGGAGCCGCTTTGGAAGCTTGTTGCATTAGGCCGAGGATGAAGGCTTGACTGACCCCACTCTGACGCGACGAATCACAGCGGCATGATAAAGCTTAGAACCAGGCGACCCTAAACCGAGAACCGAAAAGAATCCGCAACACCCGAGCAAATCGAACATCCGTACACACACACACATGCAAACAGACGTATATGTATATACACACACACATACATATCTGTCTCTATCTCTGCCCATCTATATATATATATGTGTATATTTATGTATGTATGTATATATATATATATATGTATGTATGTGTGTATATATATATGCACATGTACATATGCAACTGTGTGTGCGAATGTGTATGTATGTGTATGTGCATGAGAGAGCGAGAGAGAAAGAGTGTGTGTGTGTGTTTATCTGTGTGCGTGTTCCTTTGCTATCACACATGCATGCGCACACATCCATCCATCCGTCCATCCATCCATCCATCCATCCATCCATCCATCCATCCATCCATCCATCCATCCATCCATCCATCCTCCATCCATACATCCATACATCCATAGACATGCTGGCATGCTACTGGAATCCGCAAAAACCATCATCTCAGGAGCATCAACCTCGACCTCTGCTCCATGCGCGTGATCCTCGCCGCGAACAACACCACCGCCACCGCCAACGCCGCCGCCACCACCAGCAGCAGCACCAGCACCACCACCATAGTTGTCGTCACCACCAGCAGCGATATCCACGGATAGAAGAGGATGACGTCGGGGAGGTACCGAAACCCGAAAACCCCAAACCCAAAACTACTCCAGACCTTAAGCCCCTGAACCCCGAGACCCTAAATCCTAAATCTCGCAACCCTAAACTCTGAGCTCCTAAACCGGCAGGCCTGCTTCAGTTCCACGCCTTCCGGCCTGAGGACCCCAAGAATCTAAGACTGCTTGATGACTTCATGAAGCAACTTAACTTGAATCATGTTTAGGATCCCTCTAAGATTCAAGCCAAGGGCTGCACCACGATGTACCTTACGCCATACGCCATGCGAAGGCCGCATCCAAACTCTTAAATACGTAGGGCTCCATGTGTTTGCAAATATATATATATATATATATATATGTCTGTGTGTGCATACAATCTATACTGTATGTATGTATGTATGTATGTATGTATGTATGTATATATATATATATACAGGGCCTATTTTGGGCTTACTTAGACCTTCCCGGAGCTTCGGGTCGAAACCTCCGAGTCGTAGAGCTCAAGGTATGTATGAAAACCTCGTTTCGATCGCCCTCGATCTTGCAATATGATCTGTGTATAGAGTTCGGGGTTTAGTGTTTTATATGAACTTTGTTTAGGGTTTAGGGTTTAGGGTTTATATATGAATTTTGTTTAGGGTTAACTTTGTTGATAGGGTTTTGTATGAAGTTTGGCGACCTCTGCCATGAACAACATGATTAGCAGCCTTTGTCGAACTTTAGACACGACTTATGGGGTGTTATAACGGGCTTTGTTTGGGGCTTGACCAAAGGGGGTTCTATCAAAGGCTTGAAATGGGTGCCCTAGTGATTCCAGTAGGGCTGTTTGGGAGATGGCTCAGCTGAGGTGCTTAAGGTTCAACAGGACTTCCTCCATCTCATCAGACCTCTCTATAACCCAAAACCCTAAACCCTAGGCTCTATAAGAAGAATTGCGGCCGAAGGCATTGGATGTGGGGCCCTTGGAGTTTATCGCTCAGGTTTCTGATGTAGAAGCTTTAAAATTTAGAATAGGGCTTGGGGGGGTACAGTATACTATAACTAAAATAAGGAAGCATCAAAGTAGTATTGGTAATTTTCTAGGCTCCTTATAGTAAGCTTTTCTTTAGATCAACCTACTGCTTTGAGGATCACACCCTGTTGATTTTGCGGGCATAGCCTACAATTTTGTCTGCAACACATGCCTTTGGTTTAGGGTCCACAGTTTTGAGGTCTAGGCCACGGTCTAAAGCGTTTCTTCGAAACCTCATGGGGGGGCCTTCTTATAGACTCCAATAGGCGCCCTTAAACTCAACTTATAGTTCTTTTGGAACCCACCTGCTCCGCGAGGGACACTCCTCAACAACCCGAGCCGGAACCTTAAATACCCTGGAGAAGTCTTCCCGGGGGCAAAACTTGTCAAGAGACCCAAGCTGCCACTAACGAAAGTTCAAAAGATAGGACTGTAAAGCAAACGCTGCGCTTTGCTGATGATGGTGTCTCAAGACAACTCATATAAAGGCATGAAAGATCAAGGGCAGCATGCCCTTGCAGCGTAATTGTTTCGTTACACGCTACAATCTCTTGAAACGAACCCCTTTCATCGCGATTGACACTCATGCAGACAGTGTATGACCGTAGAAACCTAAACCGTCAACCCCTAAACCCTACACCCTATACACCCTAAACCCTAAGCCCCTAAAGCCCTAAACCTCTAAAACCCAAACCCTAAACCCTAAACCATCCTAAACCCAAAACCCTAAANNCCCTAAACCCTTAACCCTTAAAACCCGAAACCCTATAAATCCATAAACGAACCCAAGGAGTCTCAAGCTCGACTTCCGAAACCCTCAGCCCGAGCTCTGGGATCCGAACTTCCTGGCCGAGGGCACCGAGCTCGATCGCGTGGCCACCAGGCAGCTGGCCCAGTTCCCAGAGGGCCCCAAAGAAAGGGGGGGGGGGGGGGGGGTNNCTAAATTGGGGGTTTAGGGTTTAGGGTTTAGGCTTTAGGGTTTAGGGTTTAGGATTTAGGGTTTAGAATTTAGGGTTTAGGGTTGAGGAATCCTTGATAAGGGCGTTATACGTGTTGAGGGAACTTTGTTTCGGTATTATAAAGGTTCAAAGGGTTAAATGAGCTTTCTTACATGTCATCTAACTGTGAAGAAGCCTTCGTCGGTTTGAGAGTAGGATTTTTAGCGGAATCAGGCAATTGCCATCAATGTTATTTCTTTGGGTTGTTTCAAGAAAAATGCAGTAGAATCAACCCCAAAACCAGATTGTCTTTAAAGAGAAGGGTGTCCGGTGTGAAGGGTGCTGGGCTTGAGCTTTCTGAGGTGTCCTGTCAATGCGGGCCCACCGTTCTTCATACGCTTTAGCCCAAGGCATCAGGATCAACCTGGAGGGATGGTGGCTTTCGCGGGGTAGGGCTTCGGTCTGGAAGGTTCGCATAAACACGGCTCCAGGCAGTTGGTGCGCTAGACCGAAGTACCTATAAAAGCTCACGAAAGGGAAAACCCAAAAGCACTCCTTTCGCCAGAACCACCCTCACGGCCCTTTCACTTCCTCCATAAGTTAGAGTTTGCCCAAACACCCCTGAACCCCAAATCAAATTATCAACCCTTCGACCCTAAGCACCACCTCTCCTAGTTATACCCCGAAATCCTAAAAAAAAATACCACGAATCGCCTAAAACGCAGGAGGTCTTAGGGCAGGGCCTGCCCAGCCCCGCAGTCGGATATGGCGTCAGCTGCACCGGCGCCCCGACGCGAGGACCTCGGGGCCTGACGTAGGGATACAATCTGTAAGGTCGGGCCATACTAATTAGAAAAAGGTTTTTGGGGCTCCTTTTAAGGGTTCCTTGAAGGGATACTATAAGGGATCTAGTATAAGGGGTTTAGGGTGTAGGGGCCTTAATAATTAGAATAGGGTTTGGGGGGGTATCTTATACTATAATCATACTAAGGAACCCCCAAAATCCTGTTCTAATTATTACGGTCCCTATATTACTAATGTTCTCGTTGCTGGCCTTACACGTATATTCCCATTGCTGAGTCTGTCTAAGGGCTTCAGGTATTCCAAGGGCTTCAGGGTCAGGGGATTCAAGTATATGAGGGAGGTTTAGGACTCAGCGGAGCGATGGCGGTAATATAGGGGCAGAAATAATTAGAATAGGGTTTTGGGGCCCATTGTGCTATAACTATAATAAGGAGCCCCCCCCCAAAAAAATAGTATAGGTAGCTATTCAGGCCCCTATGGCATGACCATAGGCCCCATAGTAGTTCATTTTTGGGATTACCTTATAGGATTCCAAATATGAACCCCCAAAAGGAACTACTATGGTGCCCATGGGTAGTGAGATATCTTAGGCCAGGGCAGGAAGGGCATCTGGGGGAGATCGTCAGAGTGCCGGCTGCTACCCGCGGCGTAGGGCACGATGGCCCCAAGGAATCTTGTGAATCGTCCTGCTCTTCCTTTGGGTTAGGGTTTAGGGTTTAAGGTTTAGGGTTTAGGGTTTAGGGCTTAAGGTTTAGGGTTTAGGGTTTAGGGCTCCTCCTTGTCATGAACCCTAAGCTTTAACCCTGAAGCTTGAAGATCATCCGGACAAGGCAGCAGATCACTGTCGCCGTCTTGGCTTGACAAGTCCCTAAGCCCTAAACCCTAAACCCTAAACCCTAAACCCAAAACCCAAAACCCAAAACCCTAAACCCTAGACCCTAAACCTCAAACCTGGAGCAGGGGAGAAGAAGACCTCCCACTGCTGACCGAGGCACTCAATCTGTCGGCAGCTGCCCTGGTACCTTTAGCTGATCTTCTAAATAAGTAGTATAGATAGCTGTTGCTACCTCACATATCTATCTACCTATCTATCTATCTATCTGTCTATCTATCTATATGTATAAGTACATATGATTTAATTGAACCTCCAGCTATGTGAGGTCTTGAAATCTGAAAGCCACGGCTCAACACTGAATCCTTAGCTCGGGGGCCGTCGTAGTGCACATTGCCTTCCTACTCTAGTTCCTGTACAACTCTTCCTGAAGCCTTTTCTAGGTCAAAGCAGCAGTCCTTGCACAGACGCGTGTCGTATCAGCAACATGAATAGGGTTGATTGAGGACTCAGACCCACACCCATTCCAGTGAGCCTAAACCCTAAAACCAACACACTTTCATGAGTATGCCCACGCATCAGAAGTCTTGAAGCAATAGAGGATCCCTGAAGCCTTCCCTGAGACATCGCGCAGACCCTATTATTGAAACAACGGGCTGCTCGGTCTCCGACAGCCCCGTGCGAAGCAGTGGGGGCGGCAGAATCGTTGTCTCAGTCACGGTGCATGGGCTTTTAGGGTTTGGGGCTTAGGGTAGTAGGCGCCTAACCCGAAACCCTAACCCCCAAATCAAAACCCTAAACCCTAAACCCAAACCCAATCCTACACCCTAAACCCAAACCCCTGAATCAAAACCCTAAATCCTGACACCGAAACCGGAGGAGGGAGGTGTCCGACGGACAAAAAAGCAGAGTTTTGCGAGTTTAAGCGACTCCGAGAACTCCTATCTGTGGACTAATTAGACCTCAGAGGAAAGGGTCTTTCTGGGAATTTAGGTAAGGGTTTAGGGGTTATAAGCTTAGGTAAGTTTTGGGTGTTGTAAATTAGGGTCTAGGGATATTCAGGGCTTAGCGTTCAGGGTACGTATACCTGAACCGAAAGAAACTTACCTCCTTGAAAGGTGTGAGTACATAAGAAAAGCATGATAAGGACCCCTCTGGCAGGTAAGGCATCTAGCCGTTTAGGGTTTGGAGGTAGCAATACAGCATTGGGACACCTCTGAATGTTTAGGTAATATAAGCGCCTGCATACATAGAATAGCGTGTTGGGGTAGACTTAGTATGATCGATATGCTGTACGGGGCGAAAGCAAGGGCAAGGATCCCTCGTTTTTCACAGGTTCGCACCACTGTCCTCATATGTTCGATGCCCCTCTCTCTCTCTCTCTATATATATATATAATATTTTTGTTTATACCGACATTTTTCTACAGATACAGATGCAGCGAAATACATGCATACAGCGGTTCAACCCCTCGAACGCAGCCCCGTTCGTGTCTGTAAGACTTCCGTGGAAGGTACAAGGCAGCCCTAACAAACCGGAGAAGACAAATGCATGGACCCAACAGTGAGGTGCCAAACAACCTGGCAACGATCAAGCCTGATCTAACCCAAGACAAATAAAAAACTAAATTGCAACGTAATCTCTACCCGGTTTGCGGAGGAGTCAAGCACCAAACAATGAGGTTCCCCGTCAGTCCAGGTTGAAAGACTGAACCCAACTCTCGAGTCGGTTAATATATGGGTCTCAGAAGTTGGAGTAGGGTTTTTTGAATATTTCATGATTACTATGGTCCTAAAAGGGAACCCAAAATTCAGGTGTCTAGTTTACCACCTGAATTCCTGGGTCGCTCTTTAAGAGGCTCGCGCTTTTGGTGGGATTAGGTTGAGGGTCTTGATTTTGTGATCTTGTGTTAAGTGGGTTCAGGGTTAAGAGGTCCTTCGTCTCAGGCCTAGGATGGTGCAGAGTAGGTGGCTCAGCCAATAACTCGCAAAAAACGATACTCCTCCAGCTCAAGGAATTCTGGGCCCGCGGACGACATGGCAGCCAGCTGCTGCCGGAAGGGCTCCTGTTTAGGGTTTAGGGTTTAGGGTTTTCGAGATTCTGGGGTTTGAGGCTCGGGATTTAAGAGTCTTCAGGGCTGAGACAGACTGGGAGTTCAAGATTCAGAAATTTAAGGTGTCGGTTCTTGTTGGTCAGGGCTTGTGGGTTCTGAGCACAGAGAAACCAGAAACCCTAAACCCGACACCCTGAGCTTAAACCGCAAAGAGGTCTGCGATTCAGCGTTTTTTAGCTTTGTTTTTTGCAGGCAGGAGGGTTCAGGATCACCCAGTCGGGAAAGCCAAGTTCAATACGGGAGTTTCCGAAAGCAAGGGCTGCCTTTACTTCGGGGACTTTACAATAAGGATCTTACGATTTAGGGTACAATACTAGGGTCCCCTATTTTCGGAATCCGCCATATGAAAACTAGACAAGGTCTTGTAGGGCTTATGCAGAAGCTGCATTTATGCTATGATGAAACTGGAAACCGTCAGGTATAAGATAACTAGACTGGGCTTGTAGGAGGCTCTGCACTACAAGCGAATTATAAGGGAATGTTACTCCAAATTATTCGGACCACTCCTTTGCCTGCTGCCGGTCTGGATGAAACAACAAGGCTGCGGAGAACACTTTGCAGGAAGTACCGCTGAACCCCAAGCGTGAAGGCTTTACAAGCCTTATGGAACTGTATATAACCCTACTTATGCTGAAGCTTGGCGGCTAAGTAAGTGCCCTGATGCTTGAAGAGCTGATGTCAGGTGAGGATTACAGGCTCGGCGTCGAGATGCCGCCTTAAAGAGTGAGCAGGGTGGACACGCGCATATTCCGATATTGCTCCTAAACCTAGTCGTTCTATCCCCACGACCGAGGAAATATTGCTAGAAGCTCGCAGGGAGAGCGCTGCTCTAAACTTCCAGGTGCCTATCTTTATAGTAGCTGCTACTCAGCCGCCGATGCTAAGCACATACACACACTAACTAAGGCCTGAATGCCAAACATGAACCCCGCTTGTTACAATGGATACCAAGCAAACTCCGAAAGACACAGATGTACATATATATATATATATATGACCGTCTATGTATGTATGTATGTATGTATGTATGTATGTATGTATGTATGTATGTGTGCATGTATGTATGTATCTATGTATGTATGTATGTATGTATGTATGTATGTATGTGTGTATGTATGTATGTATGTATGTATGTATGTATGTATGTATGTAGGTATGTAGGTATGTTTGTATGTGTGTATGTACGTATGTACATATGTATGTGCGTAAGTATGCATGTATGTATGTATGTATGTATGTAGGTAGGTAGGTAGGTAGGTAGGTAGGTAGGTAGGTAGGTAGGTAGGTAGGTATGCGTATGTATATATATATATATGTGTATGTATATGTGTGCATGTATGTATGTATATATATATATATGTGTGTGTGTGTGTGTATGTGCATGTGTATGTGTGTAAACATAGACAGATTAATAAAGAAGTGAATCTATATATATATGCACATACCGACGTACATATACATACACCCCTAAAACCTACACCCACTCGCATCTTTTTGCATGCAGCTGCAGGCCTCGCCAGAGCTGTACGACAGACCGGTTGCAGGGCGTAGGGCTCAGACTCCAAATAGGCAACGTTTCGGGGTGTATGGGCTTCGTGTTTAGAGGTTGGAGTCGGGGTTCAGAGAAAATAATGGGTGGACCCACTCTGTCCGTGGGAAATGTTCAGGGTTTTGGTTTGCGCTTCTGGTAAGCCCATAAGCCCGAACAGGGATTGCACGGGTGGTAATACGAGCTTGAGTGGCGTATAAGTAGAGGGTCGAAAAGGATTTATCTCATGGGGATGTGGTTCACAGTTTATGAATTCGCTGTTAGGATCATGGATTTTGAGTCATTCTCGGGGAAATGCAGGAAGTTGGCTGAGTCTTCCAGTTAAGCGTGTACTATCGAGGTCTGAATATTCGGAAACTCCCTCTATAAGTCAACACACGAAAATACGTAAGCCCTATACCCTAAACCCTAAACCCTAAACCCTAAACCCTAAGCATCCTTTAGAACTTGCATCATGAAGTCGGCTTCGCCTTCACGGAAACCCCCATATCTGATTGTTACCTCAACTCGG